TGTTTTCCCCGGGGGGGGGGGGCAGGGGGGGGGGGGGTAAAATTTGCTTACCCTAACTGCAATGTGGCTCAAAGGTCAGCCCTCTAGGGGAATGCAGCACACCCTTTGTTGGCTGGCTCTTCATTTGTACAATCCCAGTCCATACGATCCCAACCCATACAATCCCAGTCTACAAGGTCCCAGTCCATATGGTTCTGATCCATATGGTGCCAGTCTGTAGGATCCCAGTCCATATGATCCCAGTCTGTATGGTCCTGCACAGCACACACTCCAAGGGTCTGGAATCCCAGTTCCCAGCAAGGAAAAAATGTTCCTGCCCTCAAAGGCAAAGCTCTTAAGAAGGGCCAAAAAGCCAAGTGGAGCAAGACCTTACAGTAACATTTCACTGCCAGCCTTCATAATTTCACCAATCGTTGTAGCTCCTGCACTGGGAATTAAATCAGGGAAGCGTTTTTGGTGGCAGCTGTCCTGGCTCAAGGGAGGCACTGAGAGAGAAACAGAGCAGGCAAAGAGAGGCAGGAGAGAAAGGAGGACACAAACACAGTCAGCTGAGAAGGCAGCATTCTGAAAACAGAACTGTAACTGACTGAAAATGAGTGGGATAGAAATCACTAACTCTGAAAGTTTTATTTACTATCAAATATATCCCACCCATCCAGCCCCACACAATCCCAATCCCACCACTCCAAAATTGGATCCCCCCTCTCCCAATCCCTTTCCAACTCCATCTCACCCTGGCGGCTGTGGAATTGAGTGAGTTTGGCGTGGGATTGAGTTTTTTTGAGGTGGGAACAAGCAATTTGAGATGGGATTGAGCTCTTTTGTGGTAAAATAGAGTTGTTTTCAGTGGGATTGAGTTGTTGAGATGACAGATCGATCCCTTTTGGCTTTTGGAGTCCAAAGAGATGGAAAACACTGCCCAAAATCCCCCAAGAACCCACAAATCCTCCAGAATGTCCCCAAATCCTAAATTCCCCCTCAAACACCTTTGAAATTGTGGGACGTCAGATATCTTTGATCAACTTCATTCTTTTCAAACCTGTTTGGGCTGTTTTTAAGGGATAAAGATGAATCAGAAGAAAATTCAGGTCAAAATAAAAGGATAACCAGCCAGGTGCTTTCATAGCATGGATCACAGAGAATGTGGATGACCAGGTCTCTTTCCAGTGTGGGTCCTCCAGCAGGGGATAGAGTTGGAGCAGCCCATGAAGCTCTTCTGGCACTCGGGGCACTCATAGGGCTTCCCTTACCTTCCCTTATGGTGTTTCCGTTGGTGTTGGGTCAACTGAGACCTCCTGGAGAAGTTCTTCTCACACTCAGGACAAGCGTAAGGCCTCTCCCCGGTGTGGATGCGCTGGTGGATGACGAGGGCGGAATTGCGCTTGAAGCCCTTCCCGCAGTCGGGGCAGCGGAAGGGCCTCTCGTCTGTGTGAATGCGCTCATGCAGTAAGAGATTGTAGCTGGTGGGAAACCTCTTCCCACATTTGGAACATTCGTAGGGCCTCTCCCCAGTGTGGATCTTTCGGTGGTTGATGAGGGTAGAGTTCTGCTTGAAGGCCTTCCCGCAGTCACGGCAGCGGAAGGGCCTCTCCTCTGTGTGAATCCGATGGTGCACGAGGAGATGGGAGCTGGTGAGAAACCTCTTCCCACATTCCCCACACTCGTAGGGCCTCTCCCCAGTGTGGATCTTTTGGTGGCAGATCAGACTGGAGCTCTGGCTGAAGCCCTTCCCACATTCCCCACACTTGTAGGGCCTTTCCCCAGTGTGGATGTTCCGGTGCTGGATAAGGCGCATGCTCTGTCTGAAGCTCTTCCCACATTCCCCACACTCGTAGGGCCGTTCCCCAGTGTGGATGCTCTGGTGGCGGAGCAGGTGGGAGCTGTCTCTGAAGCTCATCCCACATTCCTCACACTCATGGGACCTCTCCCCAGTATGGATGTGCTGGTGCCTGACAAGATGGGAGTTTTGCCTGAAGCCCTTCCCGCATTCGGGGCAGTGGAAGGGTCTCTCCCCTGTGTGCGTGCGCTGGTGCACGAGAAGTTCGGAGCTGGTCGGAAACTTCTTCCCACATTCCCCACACTCGTAGGGCCGTTCCCCAGTGTGGATCATCTGGTGACGGATCAGGGTGGAGCGTATTTGAAACCTCTTCCCACATTCCCCACACTCGTAGGGCCGTTCCCTAGTGTGAATCATCTGGTGCTGGATCAGGTGGGAGCTCCGTCTGAAGCTCTTCCCACATTCCCCACACTCAAAGGGCCGTTCCCCTGTGTGGATCATCTGATGCTTGATCAGGTGGGAGTTCTGGCTGAAGCTCTTCCCACACTCCAAGCACTTGTGGGGCTTCTCCCCATCATAAAGATGCTCATGGACCACCAGGTCCATGTTCTGCCTCGAAATCTGGCCACCCTCCTGGCACAGGGTGGGTCTATCCTCCTCAGATCCTGGCGATCTGTGTTTGCAGCCTCTCCTTGTGTGGGATCTCCACGGATTTTCCTCCCCAATGAATTCCTGTGCTGTACAGCCACCCAAAACAGGCTCTTCCATGAGGTTCTGCTGTGGGGATTTGTCCTCCCTGGTCTCCATCCTCAGCTCCTTCCCTGGGGGAGGAAGGACAAGGAGAGGATGGGATTTGCCTCTGTGTCAGAAGGAAGGGGAAGGAGATCCCCCCCAGTGCATCCCCGTCAGGACGGCATCGCCAGTGGGGTTGTCCTGCAGCCAGGGGCCGTGCTGGGTTGGGAGAAGGAGGAGAGAGGGGGAAAGGGGCAGTGACTTCCTCCTCACCTGCTTGGGTGTCCTGTGGCATCCTCCTCTTCCTCGCAGCCTATTTCTTCATCTGGCCAAGTTTTGGGAATGGGAAATCCTGGCTTAGGGAAAACAACAGATGAGCACGTTGATTTTGAAGGTCTCTCTGCCCAAGTCCAACTCTAGAAGTCATCAGGCATCTGGGATCCAAAAAAAACCCCCAAACAACAAGATTCAGCCCTGAAAACTCTCCCAGGAGATCCCCATCTCTGGTCCCTCCCTTCTGGTGTTTGGGGGTTCCCCCTGTCCCAGCTGCTGGGGATCACACTTGTATTGGAGGATTCTCTTCTACTCGGTCCTCTGTCCTCCCTCCCACCCACCTGCTGGGTGTCCCAGGAATCCGAAAAGCTCCCCCCTCTTTGGCCTCCCCATTTAGGGATGCAGAAGGTTTTTGGGGTCCTGGGGTTTGTTCTCCCCTTATTTTCTGCAGTGCGGGGAGTCCAAGGAGTCCCTCCCTGCCCTTCTCCAGGCTCTTGAGGGTCCCGCCAATCACGGTGCTCCCCTTTCTCTGGGCTCCCAACTCTGGGCTCTTGGGGGACACAGGGCTCTGCTCCTCCAGCCTGCTTATACTAGCAGCCACCAGCAGGATGTCCCAGTGTCCCCCCAAGGGGCCTTTTCTGCTCAGCTTTGGAGTTCTTCATTCTCCAAACATTTCCCCACCCCAAAAAAAAAACCCAGCTCAGGACTCCCCAGGATACCTGGGCTGAGCTCCCCTGCACCAGTCACCTGTGGGATGTGGGGAATGATGATCCCACAGGTGGGGGCTGCAAATTCAGGGAGTGCTCAACCTCCTGATTTTTTCTCCTTTCCCTGATACTCCTTTGTCCCTCCTCTTCCTCCTGCTCCTTGTCTTCCATCCCTCCTCCTCCTTCTCCACCCTAACCCCACCTCCTTCTCCTACTTCCCTCCCTTCCTGCTCTCCTTCTTCATCCCTCCCCTTTCATCCTTCATCCTCCTTCCCCAGGAGGAAATTTGGAGTAACTGGGAAAGAGTGGGATCATTCCAAGGTAACTAGAACCTTACTGGGGTAACTGTGATATACTGGGAGTGTCTGTAACCATACTGGGGGGACTGGAACCACACTGGGAACAGCTGGGATCATGCTGGGGTCAACTGGGACCATACTTGGGGTAACTGAATCTACATTGCGGACAACTGGGCATGAGAGGGACTGGGAGGATTATAGGGGAAACTGGGATCATAATGGGAACTACTGTGAACAACTGTGACTATGCTGGGGGCAACTGGGATCATACTGGGATCACAGTGGGAACAGCTGGGTCCATGCTGGGTTAGACTGGGATCACACTTAGGGTGACTGGAATCATGCTGAGATTGACTGGGAGTGGCTGTGAGCAACTGGAATTTGCTGAAAGCAACTGGGAGAAAGTGTGTGTGACTGGGAACATGCCCTGGGTGACTGGGATACACTGAGAGAGACAGGGAGTTAGTGGGATCATACTGGAGGCTACTGGGGTCATGCTGGCACTGACAGGGAGCAACTGGGATCACGCTGGGGGCACTGGCATCAGACTGGGAGTGACTGGAATTAGACTGCAAGTGACTGGGATCATACTGGGAGTGGCTACAATCATACTGGGATTAGAGTGGGTGTGCATGGAACCAGACTGGGGGTTACTGGGAGCAACCAGGCCCATCCTGGGAGTCAAGTGGGGACACACTCAGAGGAACTGGGAGCAACCAGGATAAAACTGGGGGAAAGTGAACCACACTGAGGTAAGTGGGAGCAACTGACAATGACTACGAGAAAGTTCAGGGCAACTGGAATATACTGGGAGTGTCTGAGATCATATGGGTGGCAACTGGGAGCCAGTGGGAATGTGCTGGGGGAGCTGGGAGAACTGGGAACACACTGAATGAAAGTGGGAGGAACTGGGACCTTGCTGGGATGAAATTACATCATCATAGGGAACAACTGGGAGTGACTGGGCTCATACTGGGAGTGCCGAGGAAATTGGAAGCACACAGAGGGAGCGACCGGGCTCATCCTGGGAGCAGCTACTGCCGGCCCCGGGAGCCCTGAACCCCTTTCCCGCCCATCCCGCTCTTTCAGCCCCAGCATCCCCCACTGGGGTCCTGGGAATCCCAGAGGTCCCCCCTCTCAGGGTCCCCGCTTTGGCCTTTTGGGGCATTCCTCTCTCTGGGCTCCCGCTCATGGAAGCCGTGGCTTTCCCAAGGCTCCCCAAAACCAATGTCCCCCCACCAGTGCCATTGGTCCCGCGCGGTCCCCACGTGGCCCCGGCAGAGCTCGGAGGGTCCGGCCGGGAAGCCCAACCCCCACTGCGGGGGGACCTGCACCCTCCTGTCCCCAGAAAGGACTCTGCCACCACCCACACCTGTAGCTATGATATTTTATTAAAAATCCTTTCCTAGGATTTTTCCCTCCTGAGAGCTGAGAGCCTCAGGAATGAAATGTAAACAATAATTATCTGCTGCTGTGGAATGCAACAAGTACATCTTCCATTGGTCCATGTGGATTGTTTTCAATTGATGACCAATCACAGACACCTGTGCCGAGGCTGTGAGCAGTCACAAGATTTTGTTATGAATTCTATTCTATTCTTGTTCTTTGTAGCCTTCTGATCCTTCTTTTCTCTCTGTTCTTTTAGTATAGTTTTAATGTAGTATTTTAGTATATATCACAAGATAATAAATCAGCCTTCTGAGAAAATGGAGTCAAGCCTCGTGTCTCCCCACATGGGGTGTTCGTCTCAACACACACTGGGACTCCCAAAAACACCTCCCAGGGACCCCCGATGTCCCCTCGAGGGGCATCTGTGGCTCAGCTTTGGAGCCCTGCAAACTCCAAACATTCCCCCAAAAATCCCTAAACCTGGGGACCCCCTGGCATATTTGGGCTGAGCTCCCCCTCCCCAGGCACCGGTGATGCTCCCAGGGCTGCGGTGAGTTCAGGAACCGCCAGGGCCACGCGATTCCACCCTCGTCTCTTCCTCTGCTGCTTCCTGCTGCCTCTCCGCCTCTTCCTCCCTCCCTCCTCCTCCTCCTCCTCCTCCTCCCCCGTTCCCAGAACTGGGAACTGCGAGGTAAAAGGGGTGGGGTTAAGGAAAGGGTGGGAACTCTGAAGGGGTGTGGCAAAGTGGATGTGAAGTCCTAAAAGGGCCTGGTTTGGTTAAAAATCACCCAAAAGCGCCTCAAATGCAGCCTAAATCCACCAGGTTTGGCCTAAAATCAGCCAAATGGGATTCAAGTTATCCAATGGGGTCTAAAATTCAACCAAAGGGACCTAAAATTGCCCTAAGTGGTTTGCGACCCACACAAGATGGCCTAAAATCATCCTTGAATCTCCCAAATGATCTTAAAATCCTTCCTGAAAGTACCTGTTTTTTCCTGAAATCGCCCAAATGGGCCTAAAGTCCACCTGGTTTTGCCTAAAATCACCCAACCAGACCTAAAACCAACACAAGAGGATCTAAAATCACCCTAAAAAGACTTGGTTTGGCCTAAAAAGGCAAAATTCCACCCAAGTGGGCCCAAAATCACCAAAAAAAGGGGACTAAAATCACCAATGCAGGATTAAGATTCACCCATATGGACCTACAATCAGCCAAAGGGATGTAAAATATATCCTACAACTGCCCAGTTTATCCTAAAAATCACCCTAACAGGCCTAAACCCCATCCAAATGGGCCTAAAATCACCCCAAGGGACCTAAAATCCACCCTAAAACACGTGAGATTTGGCCTAAAATCATCCAAAGGGGCCAAAAATCCACACTAAAAGGCTTAGAATCACTCCAAGGGATCTGAAACCCACCTTAAACCTGCCCAGTTTGGCCTAAAATCACCCAAATGGGCCTAAAATCTCCAGGAGGGAGACCGAGACCATGACCATGATCAGGACCAGAACCGGCACCAGGACTAAGACTGAGACTGACACCAGAACCGAGACCAGCACCACCCCGGGACCGAGTCTGAGACTGGGACCAGCACTGGGACCAAGATCGGGACTGGAATTAGCACCAGGAGCTCTCTGGGACTGCTCCGAGACTGAGACCAGGATTGGCTCCAGAATCGCTCCAGGGAGTTTTGGCCGCACCCTCGGATAGGACCGGGCGGGACTGGGAGGGGCCAGAGCTCTTGGGGAGATTTTGGGAAGGTTTTTGGGTTTGATTAGGCTTTGGGGAATCTTGTTGGGAGTTTAGGGGGAATTATTGGGTTTTTTGGAGAGAATTATAGGGTTTTGGGGGAGTTACAGAATTTTGGGGGGTTTTATTTGAACCTTGTGGGGTGGTTTTTGGGGGATGTTTGGGAGTTTTTTGAATTTTTTTTTTTGTTTTGTTTGTTTTCTTCTGGAATTTTTGGGGGGTTTACTGGAATTTTTAGGGGATTTGGGGGGGGTTTATTGGAATTTTGGGGGTATTTAGTGGAATTCTTCATGGATTTGGGTTATTTGGGGTTTTCTGGTATTTTTGGTGGGTTTTGGGGGGTTTTTTGGGTGTTGCCAAGATTTCTTTGGGTCTTAGGGGGATTTTGTGGGACTTTTTGAGGTTTTGGGGACTTTTTTGTGGGGATTTGTGGGGTTTAATTGGGATTTTGGGG